GGGAAACATTTTGTTTCAGCAAATTAATATTACTCTTATTAAGTTGATGCTGGTAGTTAGAATTGTATAGGTTTTTTGGTCTCATTTTTCATTTTACTTGTCATGTAAGAGAGAAAGAATTTTAAAGTAGAAATAATTTGTCAGGAATGGTAATGCCATATAATTATTTTCCTTTATAAGAAGCCCATCCATCATTCAAATAATCATTTTAGCAATGTTTATTAGTCACTTTTCAGGCCTTTTGTCTTTGGTTATGGGAAATGATAAGGGAACTATTAAATGACAAGTTAGTAGAAAATCAGCTCTCTTTATTTCCCAATTCTCATTTGAATTGCCATAGATGATATGAACTCATGTACTCATCTTGTTGCCCATTGGTATTGAGCTGGCCCTCCACTTAACTCTTTAGAAAATAAAGTGAGTGAATGGCCACTCAGGTAACCCTGCGCAGGATGTGGAATCCAGGGGAAAGTGATATTCTGTGGTTTGTTTTGGTTTTATTCATTTTTCTTTCTATGGGGAGGCAGAGGATAGAGAAGAATTTTCTGTAGGTATATACATTTTTAGATATTTTTAAAAGTTATTAAGAGATCTGACAACTTTTGGGAGGTGTTTTCAAAGAAATACATCAAGAACGTGGAATCATATGCTCCACCACTTGCTAAAAATAAAGAACTTTTGGCAAACCCATCTGAACCTCCATTTCCTTACCACCAAATAGGAATAATAATAATAATAAAGACTTTTCCCAATTTATAATACAGGATAATATGAAAAGGGTTTGTAAGGTGTTACTGTGGTTGAGTCATGGACTCATAGCTACCCTATGAACAAAAGCCCTCGACACTTGCATGCATGACTTTCATCCTTTCTCCAGGTTCATAGGGTTTCCGGAGACAAGCTATTTACGGAAGTGGATACCACTCCTGCTTCCAAGCTTGTTTCAACCGGGGAGCACCACCAAACACTGTCCACCATGGGTAACCATTATCTCATTTGACACATCAGTGTCACAGTGTTAAGCTTGACAGCGACCCCAAGTTACCTCTGTACGGCAAGTGGACACACGATTTAAACTGCTTTTATAAAATTGAAGTGTTTATAACATTTTAAGAGCCAGTTTTAAAAATATTCCTTATAGTTATGAAATTTCCTAATTTGGACTGTGAATTTCTGAAGCTCTACAGGTTGCCCAAGATCTGAGGACTGGTTGTGGTTAATTAGAAGTTAAGAGTACCAGTGAACATTTCCTGAGCTATCCTCCTAAAATTAATCACGTCCTGGAACTGGCCAAAATTGATCAGTTTGTTGTTGTTGTTATGTGCCATCGAGTCGTTTCCGATTCATAGCGACCCTATGCACAACAGCTCTAAACCCTGCTCTATCCTGCGCCAACAGCACCGCCTCTGACACACCCATCCCGATTA